AGCTCTGCTTTTGCAATGTTGATAAGTATGAAGCAAGGAGAGAAAATGCAGAACATTGTGGCTGAATACATGTGATCCGTTCCGCGAAAGAGAAAGACGCGTTAAATATAACCTTGTCTAGTTGTATAAATTCTACAAATGTACACCTTTGTAATTATTGCACTAAAATCTTTATCGCTGTAAACACGTGTCTGTAGGCGCTCTGTTGATAATAAAGCAGCTATCCTATCTTATGCTATCCTATCCTATCCTTGGCAATGAAAGCAGCGAAGCTTTAAAAGTTATTGGGTTATCGGGTCACAACCCTCACAACCCCCACAACCCTCACAACCCCCACACCCTCACAACCCCCACAAGCCCCACAACCCCCAAAACCCCCACAACCCCCACAACCCTCACAACTCCACAGTTCAAGCAACCCTCACAATTCCAACAAACGCCCAAAGCACCCCCAAACCTAAATTACTTTCTGGTTGCCTTGTGTATGTGAATAACTAGGTAACTGTTGTAAATAATTACCACATTTTAGTATCAGCCAATCACAGAGCGCGTTCCTAGAGGTGCATACTGACTGCTATTTTGCGATTGAATCCCACCAATTTTGGCACGAAAATTACTGTTTAAAGCATGGTGGGAGCACTTACATTTGAAACAATCATCCCTAAAGGAAGAGCCCATACAGTCACCACCCCTATGGTAAGTAAAACAAAAACCCCAAGGCATACGAAGACTGGGCATAAGCTTTCCAGTGCTTGGAAAGGTCTGCGCCCTCTTTGCATTGACCTGGCTTTGTGAGTGGAACCAAAGCTCCCAATGAATGGTATCCCATGGAAGGGAAGTAGCAGGGGCCTGTCTCAAAAACCGGAAATTTTCATCATAAAAACGCCAGTTGTGATCCCTTTCAGGAAGGTCCTGGATGGTGGAGCCATACTTCATAAGGCTCAGAATATCACTTGGAAAGCGGCCTGTGAAAATGCCCACAAACACATGGACCCAACTATCTATAGACAATTTTCTTGACCACAGGGCCCTCTGTAGTCAGCTGTTGAACTGCTGTCGTCCTGGCCAAACTAGGGGAAAAAACAGGGGCAGGAGATGGCTGTGTGGTGACCTCAGCTGCTACGCGCTAAACTAACTGGTCAAACAGGGCAGGAGGAAAGATGGGTCCGCTTGCAGGAATAGCAGACGAAGATGGCCCAGAAAGAACTGATGACTGAGGGGCTGGTTCGCTGTCATTACTACTGGAGTGCTAACTATGAGGTGCAGTACGCCTCTTTCGGGGAGGTGAAGCCAGAAGAGACTCTAAGGCTTAGCTAGGTGGTTGTTTTGACCGAGTGAATCATCGGGGAGGCATCTGAAAAACAAAACCATAGGAAAAAGGCAGAAAAGAAAGAGACTGGTTGAATCTTAAACAACCAAAACAAAAATGCTGCCCAACAGACTGTTACCGCAGCAGTGAGCCTGCTAAAAGGCCCAATCTCATTGACAGCAAAACAGTTAACATGTAATAGACGGGCAAGGGTAAAACAGTCATTGGTTATAGCCGCAAGTCCCATAACAGCCCAAGTAATAAAACAGGAGGACCATAATCAATAACAATAACACTGACAGGCAATGGCAAGCATTGCAAAGCCCAAACTGCCGCAAGTAAAAGAAAAATACTGAAGAATAAAATGAAACAACGATGAGCAAGGACAAGCATGGTTATCTTAAGTTGCCACAGTAGCAAGCCCCAAACTGCCCCAACTAATACAAAGTATAGTCAGTTGATAATGGGCAAGGACAAGCATGGCTCATCCCACAACTGCCCTGAGTAGTAAAATTCTCAAAAACAGGAGAAATAAACAAATAGGAGCGGTATCCACAAAGCTCATCCAGTGAAAATGTGAGGTGGTTAAAAAGACAGCACGTGAAGAGCCTTTAAAATGGTGCCTTGGTAGCTGCGATACAAACTATCAACCAAAAGAGTACACATGAACCCCATCAGGCCAATAAGGGTGAACGGAAGGGTTGTTAAAACCCCTATGACGCCAACAAAAGGTATTAGGAATGGGCTCCAAAATGGCAGAAAGATATTGATTAAGTATCAATGCAGCGCTGTTGAAAAAAGACACTTTAACATGAGGTAACACCTCGCACACACCAATGACCTGCTGAATAATGTTATTAGGCTCACACTGGAATTATGAGTTTTCACATACAGAGAAATAATGGTAGAAGTCTAAGCCTATCCCCTTCGTTTTCTGATAATGCACATTTGTCTATTGTTTTAAAATCAGGAAAAAACAGTCTTTTTTTCACGGTAATAGATTTTATTTTTTTAAATAAGAAGAATGAAAAAGGAACTATAGTGAAGCAGGGTTGATACGCAAGACTGCAAAACATAGTACTGGTATTCACTTTATTTTTATCTATCGGGGAAATGGACTACTTTTACCAACACAAACGTTCAAGCATGCAGTTGAGAAGAATACAATTGACAACAAAAATAGATAAAACGCCATTCCCTCAAATGGAAAAGTGAAGACGTTTCCTCCCACCTCTCCTCTAAATAATGTTGTTGAACTGTTTAAGCCATCTGTAGGAAACAGCGAACAATGAAACTGTGAAGGAAGGAGCGGGTGGAGGGGTCCAGATTGTTTTTTTCTTCCTTAATGATATAAAACCCATTTGACCAAAGTGTTTCATCCAGTTGTAGCTGACTTGGTACATCTCATAGCCACTTCCATTGCATGCTGCGATTGTCCAAAGATTGTCCTGGATATATTTGCACACATTTTGCTACAAAATAGTATAGAAATCCTGTTTCTGATATTTCTGTACTGAATAGTCTTTTGCATATGTAATGGTCAGAAAGTCTTTTCTTCTGGTGTTTCTTTCTCACACAGGTATGGTGCTACCTTCGCCTAGTTACTTTTATATTTACTTATGGTAACCTCCTCCCCATTAACTTTTTGAACATGCAACTTCAGCTCACAAAGGGCAATGTACCTTCATGCCGGTGTACACGTCCCTGACAACTTGTACACAAGTACCTCTGCGAAATTTGTCAAATTGAATAGATAATATCAAAACGACTAAAACTACACTAATTTTGCATTTATCTGAAATTTTCCTCTTTTTGAGATTGGTACTCCTCCTTGGTGAGAACGTTATCATCCAGTATCATCTTTGAGTCCTTTGGCTGCTTTATAAGCTTTCACCTTTCTCATTCTGAAAAATAAAATTCAAAGAATAAAAGAGACGACTTTTTATTTCAAACACTGTTGTATATTTTAATAGTTGTTTTAGAAGAGGCGTTCTTGTTAAAATTATTGCAAGTGAAAACACATCTGTTGTTGGAAGTACTTGGTTGTTCTTGCTGTTGTGTTCCTAGAGCAGCCGTAGTAGCAGTAGCTGATGCTGCCACAGTCTCAGCAGTGAATGTACCTTTTATGGGGGGCTGCGATGATGCGTTGTCCTTAACGTAGGGCCATTTGGCGGTGTGTTCTGAATGATGTGTGCCAATGACCTATTGAATTTCTCTATACTAACCCCTACTACCTTTTTGAATTAGCCATGAATGATTGTAATTTCAGACCAGCATATTCGCCCACTCAGAAAGCCTATAATTGGGCCATCTTCCTGCATGCTTTCATTGTAGATGGGTGAACTTTCTTTCTACAGAGGATTTTTGGCCCGTTGTTCTGTATTAACTCTCATTTCGTTCTTTGTCTTTACTCTACGTAGACAAGCCTATCACAAGAGCGGGTAGGATTTGATGAACGTGATGTACTGAAGAAACAGACACTGGCTAATTACAAAGAAACCCACGATGCGTCACGTACATTTCTCTTTTTACTTTTCTTTTTTCTTGTTCTTATTCCCTTTTCAGTTGATTGTCCAGAGGTATCGTTCTGAGAAGGCATTGGGCATGAGGGACAACCCACAAACGTATTTTCTATTCACCTGTACCATACGCAGACTGGGGAATAGTGCTTTGGTCAACTATGTAAAGTGGTTTGTTGACCTGGCCTGCTACAAAGTAAGCCAGTTGAAAGTTTGTGCTCTGAGCCGGGTGAAGCACATTTTTGTAATTGTCGAACAAAAACTGCGTTTACCCATCTGGAGACATGAATTGTGGAATTTCAGTGAGCTCAACATGGATACATTTGGATTTCTTTTTTTTCGTCCACAACACGGAGGTGGCCAGAAAATCTTTCACATGTTTTGCGATCGGTTTCTCCTGCAAGTTTGTATAGCTCTAAAAAAGAACGACTGTTTTCATAGTTGAGTATGGTGGCCCATTACTAGCATAGAAGAACTAACTGGAAATGCCTGTTTTATTTATGAAAATTGAAAACATATTTTAAAAAAAAATCAAAATAAATAAATAAATATAGATAAAAACAAAAAAGCCAAAAAAATTTATTAAAATAAACTTGAAAGATTGCAATTAAAGATAAATAATCAAATGAAATTTGAATTTAAAAAAAGAAAGAGACAAAATGAAAATGTAAATAAATTTCAACCGAAAAAGAATAAAAGGAAATTTAAATTAGAAAAAAATAATAAAAAGATGACATCGCAAAAAAAGAAAAAATACCATAATAAAATCCCTTAGTAGAAATGCAAATCAATTTTTATTTTGCTATGATAACACTGGGCCGAACTGAAATCAAAATAAATTTCTTTTCTCAAAGTGAAATGTAAAGTGGCCCATCGTTATCATAGCCTGCGACACGTAAGGTCAGTGAAGAACCCCTCATTACCAGGACTTCTGTCTTTCTTCTCTCAAAATGGTGGTTTGCATTCATTGCTCAGACTGGGAGAAGGACCATCAACGAAAGAGCGATCTTGAGCGCTGTGTTAGCAAATTATTTGAGACAAGAGATACTAGATTTTGCTAGTCGAGACTACCCTAATTATGCGTAGTCTACCCCCACTCAGTAGGAGATTGTATCAAATACATTCGTTATGAAACGAGTGTAGAAGATGTCAAAAAGGCTATACAGGAGGAAATGGAAGGTCCAGGGGAGTACCTTGGATATCGAGCCACGCAGAGAAAAGTTCGAGAGCAGCACAAATTGGCTGTTCCTCATAATTTCGTCTATGATGGCAGTATGGTAGACCCTGTAGGAATAATGAGGCGAGGGAATGTTGGTTAAAAGAAACGGCAAGGGGGGGGGGGCGACAGGAACGTTTAAATCACTGGTAAGACCTTAGGAATTTATAGGTTTTTTTATAAACAATGAGTTTATTGGCACAAGACATGTCTTCCTGTTGTCCCTTGTTATTGTAACAATAGCACTCACTCCCAGTCATCCTTCATCTTTCAAAGTAACCAATCCCCATACTTCTCCACGTTATCCCCTTGGCAGTCTATAGAAGAAGTTGAGGTGCTGTGCATTTCATTTTATTAACTATGGTAGTTCTTTGTAATGTGTGTAAAGCAAATAAGGCTTTACATAGATATTGGTCTCAAGTCTTCCTGTTTGCTGTTTTAAATAAAGGGACCTAACCACACCTATTCAGGGGATGGTCATGACAAGCTCATGGGCTTTATGAATAGCACGTTTCCTGTAGCTGTTTATGGCTTGCAAGATGCCTTTAGTGGATACATTTTGAATTTGAAATTATGGACCACAAACTCTCACCGCAAGCTGATTGGGCGTTGACATATGGACCATTTGTATAGCACGAAGGGTAATTTGTCCTGTTTCACTAATATATGCATTCAGATTGTGATGCAGTTAAAAAGGGCTCTCATAAGCACCCATCTGGGGTATTCATAAAAGCATTCGAAGTTTGAGTTGGTTCATAAAGATGACAGCTTTTATTGGCACCTGGACTAAAAAGATGGACTTATTGAGGGCTTCTGCTTATGGCAAATATATTGTCATAATTACTGGTAATTTCCAATACTTTTTGGTGAAATTCTGGATTTTTTTCCCTTTTGCTCTCAGTATTAGCAAAGTTTGACCCCAAATTTGATCAAAGAGAAAACCCTTTATTCAATTATTAACTGAGTACTCAGTAGGGGCTCATTGGGGCTCATGAGAACTTGAACACAAAGGAAAAGACCAGCAGGTACATGCAAGTGACAGACTATGTACAGTCCCCTACAAGAGCCTCTTCTCTTAGGGCGCTTTCCATTTTATTAGAACTGATTGGCCTGACCATTCCCATGGTAATGAAAATTTCACTTTTAATCAAAACTATCCAGCCAGATATGTCAAAGTATGTCATAGTATGCATGAAGGAGGTGATTTTTCAGCAAAACTCATAGAAAAAACTTATTACTTTGTCAAAATGGCTTGTCCGGCCGGCCAGTTCTCACTTTTGCAAACTGCGGTTACTGTAGTTGGTCTCTTACAAGAGGGATTGTAGAGAGAGCTTTGTTTATAATTCAGTAGTCTATGAGTTAGGACTACAGAGGGTTTTGCTCTATGAAGTCAATCAAGATCCTCAAGTTTGCATTCAAGTGATCAGTAAATATCTCAGGCTGGACAAAGGAACTGAAACTGGGCACATGGCAACCATTCATGCATTTTTAAGGCAGGACCAGGACAATGAGCCAGAAACAGTGTTTTATGAACCATCAACAAATAACAAGGTAAAAGCAGAACAGTATTTTTCCATCTTTCCAGAATTAATATAATGAATAAAATAAATCATGTTGATAGCTTTAGGATAAGAAAACCTTAATCGCACACTTTCTAGCTATTTTGGAAGCTCAGGTGCAACCTGTATTGCACATGTGATCAGTTGTCAAAACAGGGTATGTGCTGACCAGTATCACCTGACCGTATAGTGGGCTCAGGTAATGACCCATCAAGGTCGAGTATTTAAGTTATCTGCTAGATTTCAAATGATCACAGGCTCAAGTTCAAATTTTTAAATGCATAGGAAATAGGAAGCTGTGTTTATTACCCGCACTGACCTCGGACATTACAATTCAGCCACCTTTTTCAGGCATTACTTTTCTCACCATGGTCATGTCTACGTGCGTTTTTTTATGTTCTGATTGGTAAAAATTCGACAGGTGAGTTCATGCGGAAAATTTATGCAGCATCTGGAAACTTGTTTACTGATAGCTGAAGTTGACAGAGTTTTTGTATCATCTTCTGATGTTGTCTGTCTGTTTTTTGCTGGGTGTACAAGCTGCTATCAAGATTCTTCTGTTATTCTTGGCTGGTTTGTTTCTGTTCGTTTTCAAAACATTAGTTTACTCACTTCACATTGCTTGATGCAAGGGAGTGTGTGTATATATCAATTCTATCACGATTTGATTCTTGTAGTGGATTCACCATGGTACAGAGCTGGTCCAAGATACGATCTGAGGGTGGAGTGCTATCATCAACTTCCACTATGGGTTATTCTTCGTGTAGCTGGATTAAATCCATACCAATCTACACCATCAGTAGATGGCTTTGCCTCAGCTACATCTGCCACTGCAGTTAAAGTACGTTTTCTGACATCAATCATACCAGTGGATCAGTTGGGCTCCAGTTGTGCTCAGTTCTAAGAGGATGGGTGTATACGAGGCAGAAACACATCATGCAAAGGAAATTTATGAATTGGGTTATCCATATTCAATAAACCATTCTCTTCCATTGCCTGAGATGTGTAGTAAAAAATGTGGGCTAGGCAGCAAAAGACATCCTGCCAAAGCCGTTGAGTCCTTTGGTTTTGGGTTGATATCCCTGCCAAGCAGCTCCCTTTACTAGGGCCTCTCATTTGTTCCATTTCGTGCCAGATGCCAACATTTTCCCCACCTCGATCTGCCCGTATACTTAAAGACAATCCAGGTGAGTGGATGGCACGTAGGAATAGGTCTTTTACTGTTTCACTGCGATTTCTGGTTTAACGCAAAACCGCTCATAGTTTGCGCATTACCCGTGTTTCCTCCCTGTTCATTGGTGGGGTGGAAGAAAAATTGATTTGAGAAAGGTCGGGGCATCGTTCTAATGCATTGTTTCAGTACAAAAAGCCTAAAGAAGAAAATGAAATTTCAAAGATCCTAGGTACGAGTGTTAATGTATTTATCATGGGTTATGTAACCTTTTCTTTGGGGTGTTACATGGTATGCTGTTCTGTCGCTTCATTAGCGGTAGGCTATATATATTTCAGTTGTTCTTATTTATATTCATTCGCGTCTTACGACCGTCCTTACGCCCTCAAAATTAAATACCCAGTGATCAGGGGTTTCTCTTAGACGTAGTTTTTTGCATGCTGCTATAAGAAAAGTCTAGCACGTTTTCTATGTTTACTGAATGATTGTTATACGAGCATAGTTTAGATCATTTTGTTGGGTTGTTTTTCTTGCTGTAATTTTTTACATTTCCGAGTTTTCATTCTGTTTGTTGTATTATTTCCATCCATTCTGTTGATGAAGGCATAATAAAGAGGGTCGCACACGGCTCGTGTTGACACACCCCAATTGAGGTTGCTTGTTACATGATAAATGTTTTATATTCATTTGAGCGGGGTAGCGAATTAGAATATAAGTACAGTTTCATGGTCTACCACAGAAAAACAAGACCAACCTCTTGCTTTCAAGGATGTTGTTTTCCAGAAAGGACAATTTGACAACTGTACAATTAATGTAACGGTGTCTAAGAAGGAATAATATGTTGCCCTATGGTTGTTGTAAGTAATGATTAAAGCGGCAAATATAGTATACTGTATTTAGCATTAAGACTGATTAAAATTCAAGTTTCTTGATCAGTTTTTGAACTAATCGAATGTGTCTTCATCGGTATGTTCATTGGGTATCAAAATACATGCACCTGACTCAATTGATGCAAGCTGATTTGGTCATCAGCACATGAATAATTAATGAGTTTGAGAATACAAGATCCTTGGTAGGTACTTACTCAAAGGCATTTCTTTTAGGGGCATATTTAAGCATCGTGCTGTTGAATTTCTCAATTAAACTGGTATGCTTTATAGTTTTGGGATAACCCCAATTTCACCACTTTTTATGAACACAGCCAAGTAAAGATTGTATTTAAGAATAAAACTCTTATCACGTCTCCAATCAGATTGGGCAATTTAGCTAGAGTTGATCATCACAGGGTTACCCTGACTAAAGAAGGCAGATTTTACATTAGGGACTTTAAGCAAATTGCTACAGTGACCTCTTACTATGGTGGTCGTGGATGCAGAGTCCTGAAGAGAGTACGTCACTTTGGCATCCAAAAAGTCACTACAGGGTTTCTCGCTCATTTGGTTTCGTTTTTAGTAAAACACAGGCCAGACTGAATCTAGAAGGGTCAAATACTTTCTTGATCAAGTGAAAAACAATATGATAGGTTTTAAACCAGTAACAAATAGGGGAAAAGTAGAATTTTATACTCATGTAGAAGCGACTATGCCGTTATATTTTGATCTTTGGCTAAAGGTCCTTTTCCATCATGCGCACAGCATCATTTTTTGGGCTTTTTACTCCCAGTCGCCATAGTAGAGATCACTGTAGCAATTTGTTACTTTGGTATTATTGGCATACTGCCCATGGGGGGCAGTTATTTGGTGCCTGTCTGTCTGACAAAAATTTATTGGCCTCTCTGGTTATTTCCGTGGCTGTTCTTTTTTTGCCTCTTTGACATGTGAGCCTCATAAAAAGTATCAAGAACAGCATTGATGTTTCTTAACTTTGACCTCTTGGAGCGTAGTGGCTTGATGAGCCTGGATGATGGACCACTGGCCCCCTCTTCATTGTCTTGGCTCTCCTCCGAATACATAAATTCAATAACATTGTGTAGGTGTAATAAAGCCTTTATTTTGGTTTTGTCATCAAGAGAAAGTTGTGCCTTGTACAACATGTCTGGGCCATTCGTCAAGTGGCACGACTACTGTGAAAAACATGCAAGAGCAGTTTAGTCTGGCAAAATAGTCAGCCTGGCTATTTTGAATCTTTAGATTTGGTTCTTGCTCTCTACTCTGAGCAAATCACACTACAATCAAACCTCGCATATAAATAGAAAAGACACTGTTAACGTTAAAAATGTCAAAGGGGGACGGGTGAGGCACTTTTGCATTCTATGACAATCATAAATTATGTATGCATAAGGCAAACATGCAAAACATGTGTTGTGTTCTTAAACAATGAAAGAAACTAGTGCCCTTAACCTGAACGATCCAGGGTACCCCGGATAAATCTGTTTGAACAAACTAAGAATTCATCGTCACCTAAGAGCAACAGTAATGTACGAGGGGCCACCACGCACTACCAAAGCACAGCCCTGTTAAAGGACAGGTTAAATACATCACTAAGTGGATAACTTAAACTACACAGTAGTACGCTGCATTTAAGAAATATTTGCACTGCAAGCATTAACAAACTAATGTACATGTATTTTAGCTACCCTTTTAGCTCACAGTTGGCATCTTGTCAGAACTCTGTGTTCTTCAAGGTTTCTATTTTGCTGCCTTACCACATCCGCGCAGGTACTTCTCCAGTACTGAAAAATGGCCCCTAGCAATAGGAAAGCATGTTAAATTTGCAGGTCTCTAAAAAAGTAATTAAGAGCAGATGTCCGTAAATATCGACCCAACGTCTACAAAACTGAAAAATCGAAAATTCTCAAAAAAGTTCATGAAGTAGCACTAGGTAAGCTATTAACATAAATGTAATTTTTACTTCAATCCTATAATTATTTTCGACATATGGGGG